TTCACGATTCACTCTATCTTACCTTTTCTACGATGCTTTCTTCGTCCTAATTACTAACAGTCTATTGGGTTTACCTACAAGTTTTAATACCCATTGATCAGTGAATTATTTTATTTATGAGTTTGAAGTCACATTTTTAATTTCTAGTTTTTCGACGAATTATGCGATTATACTTCAAATAAGTCAGACTAGTCAAATATAAGTACCTCTCTAGTCAAATATAAGGACCTTTCTACTCTAGTAAAATATAAGTTCCTCTCTACTCTAGTCAAATATAAGGACCTCTCTACTCTAGTAAAATATAAGTTCCTCTCTACTCTAGTCAAATATAAGTACCTCTCTAGTCAAATATAAGTACCTCTCTACTCTAGCCAAATATAAGTTCCTCTCTACTCTAGTCAAATATAAGTACCTCTCTAGTCAAATATAAGTACTTCTCTACTCTAGCCAAATATAAGTTCCTCTCTACTCTAGTCATTATAAGTACCTCTCTCGTAAAAACCATAGAGAGGTACTTATATTTGACTAGAGAGGTACTTATATTTGACTAGAGAGGAACTTATATTTGACTAGAGTAGAGAGGTACTTATATTTGTCTAGAGAGGTACTTATATTTGTCTAGATAGGTACATATATTTTACTAGGTACTTATATTTGACTAGAGTAGAGAGGTACTTATATTTGTCTAGATAGGTACGTATATTTTACTAGGTACTTATATTTGACTAGAGTAGAGAGGTACTTATATTTGTCTAGATAGGTACGTATATTTTACTAGGTACTTATATTTGTCTAGATAGGTACTTATATTTGTCTAGAGAAGTACTTATATTTGTCTAGAGTAGAGAGGTACTTATATTTGACTAGAGTAGAGAGCTACAGCTTCCAAAAACCACTGACATCATTGGGTCTTTCACACCCACCATATGAAAATGTATATATTTATTGTATTGCAACTTCAAGAAAAATGTTGAGATGTTGTAAATTATTACACTTCTCTGATAAATGATGATGTCATTTACTTTGCTACACTCCTCTCAGGTGAATGTTAATATTAGTTATTTCGAGTTGTTTTTAGTTTGTTAAATTTGTCAGGTTATTATCTATGTATTCTCTCTTTGCTATAACTTCTCAAATATTGTTTCAATTATAGCTGTAAGTTGAATATTGCATTAGTTTAATTTCTTTGCTAAATTTCCCAGATAATATGAGCCGGTTGTGACCTAATGTTTAGTTTGCCAAGTTGTGAATTGGAAGATCGAGTGTTTGAACCCAGAACTTGCCGGTGAACATGCTCCACACTTTTAGCTGTAGACGTTTTATAAAGTAACAGTCATCCCGCTATTCGAATATAAGAGTAGTAGTGTTGGCATTGGATGCTGGTGACGGGTTTCTAGCCATTTGGTCAGCAATACTAAATTAGGGATAGCCATACCTGAACTTTGAGGTCTGGCCTTTTAGCTCATGTGTCGCTCAAGTTGAAAATACCAAATAACAAGATGGTGATTCATATAACTTACTCTATTACATATAATATTCTAATTATGTAGTTTATAGCCTCCAAAAGTTTGCTGCTACGGGGTTGTTTTGTTGTTGTTGTTAAATCTCCCAGAAGAGGGTCGATCTAGTTTACTTGATTTCAGCCCCAGAAGAAAGTTGATATCTTTCATTCTTTAAAAGTTCTATATTTATATATTATTTACTGCTGTTTATATAGCTCATATTATTACACCATCCAAACTGATGTTTGTATAGCTTACTTAGTTGTAATATAGTTCCTGTATTACAGTCTCTAAATGAATAATGATATAAAATAATTTATAGATTACTTTGTTACAGTCCTTAGGTAAATGTTTATACCAGTTATCTTGTTACAATCCACAGATGATTGTTTATTGAGATTACTTTCTTACAGTCCTTAGATAATTGTTTATACCAGTTATCTTGTTACAATCCACAGATGATTGTTTATTGAGATTACTTTCTTACAGTCCCATCAAAGTAATATATACGAACAACGTCAATGATCTGTTATTAGGTAACACATACAAACAACAGCCTGAATGCTGTTACAAGATGAGCTATATAAACAGCAATTTGTTTAAAGATGTTACAAGGTAAGATGTACAAACAATGACTATAAGCTGTTTTTAGGTAAGATACACAAACAAAAGTTTGGAAGATGTTACAAACGAAGGTGTATAAACAATATGTATGAGCTGCGTTAAGACGAGATATAAATAATAACTTGGAAGATGTTACAAACGAAGGTGTATAAACAATATGTATGAGCTGCGTTAAGACGAGACATAAATAATAACTTGGAAGATGTTACAAACGAAGGTGTATAAACAATATGTATGAGCTGCGTTAAGACGAGACATGAATAATAACTTGGAAGATGTTACAATATAAGACTTGCAAACAACATCTACGAGGTGCTTTTAGGTACGAAAATAAATCAATAGTAATAAACATGGAGGCTCAACAAATTAGACAATATCTAATTTTTTGTAAGAATTATAACAAAGACATATCAAAATTCACTTGGAAACGTTAAGAGAATAGTTAAATAAACAATCAGGTACAGATTGTAGCAAGATAACTGGTATAAAAAATTATCCAGGGACTCTAACAAAGTAATATCAATAAACAATCATCTGTGGATTGTAACAAGATAACTGGTATAAAAAAATTATCTAAGGACTGTAAGAAAGTAATCTCAATAAACAATCATCTGTGGATTGTAACAAGATAATTAGTATATACAATTACCTAAGGACTGTAAGAAAGTAATCTCAATAAACAATCATCTGTGGATTGTAACAAGATAACTAGTATAAACACTTACCTTAACATTTTCTAAACCGTTGTTTGTATGTTTTACACAGTGCTGTTTATTCATCTTACCTAAAACAGCTCATAGGTGTTATTTGTATCTTACTCTGTAGCATTTTCCCCATTATTGTGTATCTATTGTACTTTTAAAGTTTTCAGGTGAAGGTTGATATAATTTCAGCTGTTGCAGAAACTAAAAGTTTACTTTTAACTGTTCAATAAATACCTGCTTCTTCTTCTTTCCTTTTATATGTAGGTTATTTATCGCATAACTTTCACGTGAACAGTTCTATAATATATATATATATATGGATTATTCTTTATATTGATTATTTAGGATTACGTAAATAATAAATTAGTGATATTAATATGGTTTGTCTGGATACGGCGTTCATTTTTTTTATAGTTAAGAAAAACAATTCGTCGATGGTCTTTGATGTATCGGTTTAAGTGAATATTTCACATTAAATTTTGACTTTCAAAGAAATATTCTGAGATATAAGTGTAACCTTTGTGTATACACAACACTGTAACTGGTGCAACTTGTTTCATTTTATTGCTTGTCTGCGGAGAAAATCTATCTGATTCAACTGTTTCTTTTATTATAGGGTCGCTTACGTACGCCGCCACGCATTATAAAAACAAAAAAACATGTGAAACTATGCGTTGGTCAACGACAATGAAATCGTTCTCTACACGTGATTAATTGGCACAAGGCAGCAGGAAACAGCCCATTGTATCTGCAACCTACAAAGCCTTTTGTAATTCTGTGCGTAATTTTCCAATTATTTCATTCTGGCACACAAAATTCCACATCGTTTTTCTTAACCAATTGTCCTTGGTTCTAGTGTTTCTGTAATAACATTAGGTTATCTCAACATATCATTTTATTTTCATATTAAATTTAAAAATGTGACCTTACAATGTTTGACAAACTATAAAGTTAAAACATTAGGCGCAAATTCAAAGATAGTATGATAAAAGAGAAGTGGATTTCTCATTCACTCTTATGCAATTGCCTTCATTAATAATTGCCTCAGAAATATTCGTTTCCCTTTCTTTATCCATTGCTTTTCACAAATGCAAGTTTTAAGGGTTGGAAACAATGAATAATAAATTGGTTTGATTTCCTTCTTTTCGAGTAGGCTTAGTTGAAGTCTTATTGTATAAAAAAATATATATGTTTTATAAAACCTTCTAAGCTTTTAGTTCCTCTACCAAAATTCGTTGTGTACTTTTTTTTTATGAATTTGGTAGCGATTATTTCTTTGCAAACGTCAGGCATTGTAGGATTAGAGTGTGCAGTAAATCTATAGCATTTTTGTACTTGAATACGGTTTATTTCCGTAAAATTTAAGGTTATTTAAGGTTAGCAGAGTATCAAAATATCCAGTTTTATTTCTTTCAATAATTTCAATTTCCAGGTTAATGTATCCATTTTCTTTCCGAATAACCTAAAATATTGAAATTTCTTCTAATGTATTATTTTCTGTAAATGGAAAAAAAAAAAGGAAGACAGCTATATACTTTTGCTCTCCTGGCACACAACTTGCGTATGCAATTTTCAGTAACTTTTAACAAACTAATTTCATAAAATACAATGGTATTCAATAAGCTTTATCAATTTCAGTTAATTTATTCGTAGATAATTTTATTTTTAACCAGTTATTTCGAGATTTCTATAACATTTATTTATTTTTCTAGAAGAGAAACTGTTTTGAAATGTCAAATTTTATTCACTTAGTTGTTTAAAACCTTAATGTTAAGCTCAAAGATAAGTAATGGGCTCTCTGCGGGTATCACAAACCGATTTATTAGTGTTATAAGCCCTCAGACTTACCGCTGAGCACCGAGGGGTAGCCATGCATGTTTAAAAATATTTAATCTTGTTGTATTATAAAAGTTATCGTATGTGGTATATGATGATGAATTTTCTAAAGTATTAAATATAGACAAATGAATTAAACTATTACCTTTGTAAATTAACAGCATTACTGTGTAATAGTTTACAGTGAAGTATATCAAAATTAATCTCTGTTGCTGTAAAGATTATCATTAATATTGTAAAATTAATAAAAACTTTGCTGGAAAACATCAGCTGTGTTTGACAACTGTTCTGATGATTAATAATACTATTTAAGGTGCTCAATCCACACAATAAAGAACCACATAACTGCCTTTATTACAAATGCCATCTTCAAACCAGGACATCTAATACGGTCAGATCATGATTTTACATTATGGACCTTTTAGTAACTATTTATAGAAGTAACCGAAAGGTTGCTGGCGTTATGTTGTCCATCAAACCAAACAAACAATGGACGGTCTTTTTGTCGTGTATTTAAAGTCATTCTACAAACATCTTGCATCACCTACGAGTTTAATAAATAGAAATTTAATTATGTTAAAGATTTTTAATGTTTATTTGCCAAAATACATCATTATAAGGAGTCAAAGTTCAGTTTTTGTTGTTACTGGATTACTTTTCCAAATGTGATCTTACTTTTAAAAATATAAGTGCTAATTAGTTTTCCAAATGTGATTTTATTTAATTTTTTTTATATAAGTGCTAAAGTCTGCTCGTAGACACAGAAAACACGTATAACAATAAGCATATAAAAGTTTTTCCACGTATGTTTCTGGTGTCTGTGTTACACGACCAGCCACCAAATATAGCGTTTACAAATTTACAACCCTTCCATACAGACATCATAGCATTGACTCGGTTATCGACGGAATGTTTTATTTTAAACTGAAAAACCCTCAGCGTAAAATTGTTCAAATCGCACAGCTGTAATAAATAAAGTACCAACAAACAAGAGACTCTATAGCATCACTTTTTCCCAAAAAGATCACAAAAAAATACGAGCTATCCTGGACTTTATATCAGTGGAAGAAGGCAACTACAAAAGGACTTCTTGGTGTAATAGAGAACTAGGATCCCGATATCGTTTAATTGAATTATTCTTTTTTAAAAAATTCAAAATGTTCGAAAGTTAAAATAATGCATTAGGAAAGCGTGAGAAAAGGTGCACCAGTAAACCACAGTATCTGACCATACTAAGTAATTATTTTTTCAAGGTGAATGTAACCGGTGCTGTTGTTAGTCTATTTAATATTCAATAAGACTGTGGATTATACACTAGAGTGAACATTTCATGCTATGTGCAAAAACGTTAAGGCCATGAATTTTTACAACTCTGTTGTGTATTTCACTCTATTGGACGGAAACTAAATGCATAAAAGGCCATAAAAATCACAGTCTGAAAGTACGAAATATCGACGTTGGTTGTAAAGACGTTCTCAGTTTTCAAGAACTTCCACAAGAAACGGCCTGTAGCTTTGGTTTGAAACTTTTTCTTTCCGTCAGGAACTGCGTTTTCAATGAAAAAAAAGAACTTGTTGATTTCTTCAACTGATAAATTCACCGTTTGCTTTCCGAATAATTTCCATACGGATCTCATGCTCTCTTGCTTTCATGCGAAGAGCTGCTATACTGGAGCTCCGACGGTCAAATTCCAAGGGACCGGGTAGAATGCCCGTGGCCGATGAGACCGAAGGCAAGTGATTGAGAAGCCCTGCATAATGTTCGCTGGTGGCCTCTCCTGGCAACTTTGGTCTGCTTTGAGCCGATAAATTGGCCAGTAATGTTTGGAACGAGGTGGTTGGATACGGAGATGAAAATGGAGCTGACATTGTTGCGGGTAGGAGGGAACTTGGGTAAGAAGCGAGGTCGCGCAAGGCATATGCCGACGGTCCTAGATAGGCTCCTGCTGGTGGCAACAGACCTGTGGCTGCAGATGGTAAATATGAAGGAGGGAGTCGCGAGGCGGCACTGAAAAGTGCAGGATCATATGGTTTCCTGGGAAAGTTGAGCGAAGTAAAAGGATTTGGTGGTCCGAGCACTGTCGTTGCTGTGGTAGATGGCGGTGGCAAGGTGTACGGGTTATACCCCTGGGCTTGCGTGACATTTCCTGCAGCTTTCTCCTGTTTTCTCCATTTAGCCCTTCGGTTCTGGAACCAGACCTAGCAAATCAGTGCAACAAAATCATTAGAACGGATATAATAAAACATGTTAAGACTGGAGAGAAAGTTTCAACGTTATAATGTTATGCATATATATATACCGAATGACTAAGACAAAGTCAATAATCAAACTGTTGCCTCTTCCTCTCAGTAAAGACCACTGCATTTGAATCAGTACTGTTTTCTGATGAACACAGTATCCTTAAAATATAAAGCACCTTTAATATTGTCTTGTTTACTTAGGCAGTTCTGTCCAACTAAGGAAGAAATACAAGACTGCCTCTTTTAGTTAGTTTTTAGTTGTATGCGTGACTACCTATATTTATTTCTATTTCAGGTTCCATTACTGATGTACATGTAATATCACAAAAATACAAAGCACGATAATTGTCACCTCGAGAGTTATATAGTAACTTAACAAAAATACATTGAAACTGGAGCAAAACATACTTTAACCCTCAAATGACCAAGTTGTTTTTTTTTATTATTCACTACTTGTGGGGTCCACATATTGCACCCTATTGAGAAAGTCTATGCATTCGTCTGCTACAACAGTCATTGTCAAACACTGACCAAATCTTTGGGTGAAATTGCCCATTTTCTCTGTGAAATACATAGATGACCCCATCGGTAATTAGTGAGGTTAATTGTAATATTGGGGGTAGTTTTGTTTACATATTTCTATAATACGTTGGAGACTCTGTGACCAATACAGTAATGGAGCCAGAAGCAATTCAGGGCACAAAAGTTTAGGAAAATGTCTCGAAAAAGAACACAATAATTCTAGGTACAAAATAAGGAACATTGTAGATCTATATTTTGAAGTAAAAATTATTAGATTTAAAATTGACAATATTATTAGCTCCATTGTGTTTTGTCTTCTTGAAGTTTTCTCATGGTATCATTTTCGCACAAGCTGATCAGTTTGCTGATACATGCTCAGTAAAACGTTTCAAAAAAAGACCTTTTAATGAATGGCTATATATATATATATTTATGCAATCAAGGAATTATTATTATTATATGAAAACTATTTTTTGTTTGTTTTATAGATTGAAGGAAATACTGTGTTGTCTCGATGATACACGTCGGAACTAAAACATGACTATCTATCTCTATATTACAGCAACTACAATAATATTTCAGATTACAGGGTACCCAACAAAACCGTAAAACGTGCCAGTCGGTTTAATAAATGGCTGGGGTTGGATTAATTACTAGATATTATTAAGATGTGTCATTAGTGATGTCAGTAATCATGAGACGATTCAGTTTCCATGCCAACTATACAGTACTTCAGTACTTAGCCCTCGGGGTGTCTGTGCAACGTGCCCCTTTCTCTAAAGACAGCAATCTGACATGTTTCTTATTAGCACAATTATTACGTTTAAATAACGAAAATCAGGCATTAAGTTCGTACATTCCCTCTGAATTATGGTATGTACTTTGAATTAGGTCACTTAAAGCTACCTCAAACATTTCAATTATATATAATCTTATATGAAAACTTTATCAATTTCAGATTCAGTCTTAATCTTTAGCTGGGAGTACAAAGTTATTAATGATAACTGAGGAAATACCAGAGGTACAAAATGTACAATAGTAACCTATACAATCAAAATCCAGTTTTATTCACTCTTTACAAAACAGTTTTTGCTTAATTTATCATCATAAAGATTATAACATACGCTTTGTTTCAATAGCAAACTTGGAAACTTATTTACTAAATTTCACTCTCTCAGTGTCAGTAGGTTTATATCCTAAATGTAAACTTTAGTAATACGTTAAGAAACCTATGTATTTTGGACTTTGTGCCGATTCTTTCTTCGGAAACCATAGAATGTTGTGATAAAGAATTCAGAGTTCTTTCTGAATAAACTTAAACCGTTTATATGTGTCATTCTTAAGTGTTTTCTGAATAAACGTAAACCGTTGTTGTATGTCATTCTGAGTGATTTCTGGATAAACATAAACCAGTGTTGTGTGCCACTTTTGAGTTATTTCTGAATAAACGTAAACCGTCGTTGTGTGTCACTCTGAGTGATTTATGAATAAACGTAAACCTCTGTTGTGTATCATTCATAATTTCTTTCTGGATAAACTTAAATCGTTAATGTGAGTCACTCTTAACTTCTTTATGAATAAATGTAATTCGTGGTTGTGCGTCACCCTGATTGCTTTCTAAATAAACTGAAACCGTTGATGTGCGTCACACTTAAGTGCTTTCTGAATAAACATAAACCGTTGTTGTGTTTCACTCTTAAGTTCTTCCTGAATAAACTTAAACCGTTGTTGTGAGGCAAGCTCGGTGTCTTCTGAACAAACTAAGACTTGTAAAACACGCCGGGTGTTTTCTGAAAAGTTCAGATTATTATCGCAACGTTCTCCGTTTCTGAATAAACAGATAATATAGTTAATCTCTCTTGACATAAAACTCGATAGTAGTTATTATTTTCCCTAGCACCGAAAATGAGAGAAAAGACTATTTTATCTAATATAGTTTATAGCATTAATGTTACACAAGTTTCAAATACCTATAAAATTATAGGTTTGTTGTGGTAAGTCAAAAACATCCCAAACACCATATGTATACAGAACTCAAGTGTAACGTAAAATACAATGTACCAGACTATGTAACACATAATTCATCGCACCTTGTGCATGAATACAAAAACTGTGAGCATCTTTTGAATAAGATGTAACTTCATCACTTTCCGAATGAAACTAGGCTATATTACTAATAGTTTCCTGACTGCAACCTAAATAAAACTTCTCAACGCTTTTTAATTTAACTTGTCTGTATCCTCCAACAGTTTCTGATAAAACTTGCCTGTAAACTTAATAAAACTTAACTGTTTGTGCTAGTATGTTATCTCTACTTGGTGAATTAAAACTTAATTGTTTGTGTTTGTGCTTGTATGTTATCCCTACTTGGTGGATTAAAACTTAATTGTTTTGTGTTTGTGATAATATGTTTACCCTAGATGATGGATTGTTTTATGTTTGTGCTAGTACGTTATCTCTAGCTGGTGGATTAAAACTTAATTGTTTTGTGTTTGTGATAATATGTTATCCCTACTTGGTGAATTAAAACTTAATTGTTTTGTGTTTGTCATAATATGTTATCCCTACTTGGTGGATTAAAACGTAATTGTTTTGTGTTTGTGATAATATGTTTACCCTAGATGATGGATTGTTTTATGTTTGTGCTAGTACGTTCTCTCTAGCTGGTGGATTAAAACTTAATTGTTTTGTGTTTGTGATAATATGTTTACCCTAGATGATGGATTGTTTTATGTTTGTGCTAGTACGTTATCTCTAGCTGGTGGATTAAAACTTAATTGTTTTGTGTTTGTGATAATATG